TGGCTTCTTTTGCATGTGACTTGTTGAGTGAGAGCCAGGCTGACCTGAGGCTGATCAAAGCTGGCAGTGAAAGCTGCCTGCAGCACCCACTTTCCTCACAGCTCCCTCAAACGTTGTAAAGCAAATGAACTTCAGTGCTGTTGTCTGCAGCAGCCTGTAGAGACTGTCTGGCACCAAAGGTGATCCAGGTTTATAATGGCAAAGCCAACAGGGACACGTTCTTTCTTGCATCAAAATCTGTGTCCAGTAGGAGTGTTAGATTTGGTGGGTAAAGTGGCTTCTCCAAAGGTGTAGACAGGAGYTAAGCCTTGCCTGATAAGGTGAGAGAACCATCAAGCCAAGTGTCACCCCTTAGGGTGAACCAGAGACTGCAGAGAGAGCTACAAGAGATTATTCTTTGTCCATGTCCCTACAAACAGAAAGATCCCCGGTGTCTTCAAGTGAGCTACTAGAAAATATCTTGTCCATAATGGAAATTTCTTCCTAATTCTATTAATAGCTGTTTTSCTTCTGAAGTTTGACCTTACATTCTTATTAAATAGGAAGAGTCCTCCTGTGGGTCTCGGCAGTGCCTTGTGGAGTTGCAGTGGGAGAGGTTTTGTCCTGCAGTGTGTTTGCCTTCTGCCCCTAAAGATTGAGGCAGGAGGTTGTCGCTATCCAAGCCCCCATATAAAGAGCAGAGGAGCTATACTATGTCTTTGTGAGTTTTTACAGCATTTGTCTGGTGATGAGGCACAAGCCCAAGATGCTCCTTAGAGCCAGGTTTTTGTCTCCTGCCTTCTTTTCTTGGTGAAAGTTCCCAACTCTGCTGCTTTACTCAGGTGCCAAGGTTTTCAAGATGCTCTGGGTAGGAGGTAGTTTGCGAGAGAAAGCCATCTATTCTACATTTGGACTAAAGTGGCAACAATAGCAAAAGGAAAACTGGTCTCACAAGCATACAAGAGAGAGATGGAGAGAGATTGGAGCAATCTGTGGTTTTGAAATCTGTCACAGTAAAGCAAACCACATTAGTATGTCAGTGTGCAAAGATAATGAGTGCAAACCACAGTGGAAATTTGTTCCCTACATGTTCATATTTCCCCTAATTACACACAGCACACAACCTTCTTCATCCCTGCCAYGCAATGTCCTTGTGCTGTTTGTACACCTTGTGCTGAGTCCTTGCAGGAGCAGATGGGATAACACAACAACAGGTTCTTGCCCTCTTTGGGCTGGGAGCAACCTGGAAAAATTTACCTCCTATTTTGATTGTGGCTTAAAAAACAATAATTCTTAAATCACTTTTCAGCTGTGAGGTGTTTCTGCCCAACGGAAGGAATGTCTACTRCTTCCCACAAAAAAGAAATAGCATAAAAAAATTTGTACAGCCTGATTTTTAAGTTTTTCAGCCAGTAATAGTACTATTTACTATTTAGTAAATAGCTGTTTTCCTGGGTTGTGAACTGGGGGGATTTCACRGGGTGTGCCTTAAGCAAAACAAAATCTTTACCTTTCCTAAATACTTCTGTATCACATTTGRGTCTTTTTCTAGACAGCGCTTTCCAAAATTAAATTCTTCCCTTGGATAACCTTTCACGTCACTACCTATTCAGCAAAGGGTGTGTTAGTCCATATGGAAATTTTGAAGCAGGATCTTGAAATAAACTGGAGCTGAAATTTGCCTAGCACAGAAATGCATATTCCTGGATTTCTGGGTGACAGTTGACCAGAGYTGATCTAATTAAGTGCTGTCCTGCAGGTCTCACAGAATCTGTTTTATTTGTGTAACAAATGCACATCGATTGGTGGCAAGCACGTGCTGAAGCGGGTTCAATTGCATTTTATGTTGTGTGCTCAGTCAATAAGGATGGGTATTGTGTGCTTCACACTGGGATGTGGCAGTGGCTGCTGCAGCAGCAGGATGCAGGATTACCTAATGCTACTTAGCAATCAGCAGCAACAGCACCTGTAACGTGCCTGCAGCTGTTTTAGTTACTAAGTGGCTCCTAAAAAATATTTAGCAGAGGATTTTTATAGTTATTCTGTTGCACTTCACAGGTGTAATTCAAAGCTGATCTATTAATAATGTATAAAATAGCAGTGTAGAGCTGTTTCCTATATAAATGTTCTACGCTTTGGTTTCCTCCAAGGAGTGAATTTATCTTTAAAGAGCTGAAATGTAAAACATATGTGGGCCATAATTCTCAGCCACATTATTTTTTACTGACACTTAGAAAAATACACATCTTTGGTTAGAGAAAAAATAAGAAAATGTCACTGTATTGTTATAAAAGAAATATTTAAGCTTCTGAAATATCCCGACCAAGACTTGCTGGAATCCTGACCCAGTGTAATCCTTTATAAATACCTCTCTACAAATGTGCCTCTTCAAGTATCCCTGAGTATATTATTTAAATCCCAGAGGACCTTTAAAAAGCGTGTGCAAGAATGGAACTACTTTTAAGTGATAGCCCTTTGTATGGGAAGCTTTCTGAAGAGGGAGGTCTGATCCTGCCACATGTGAAGCCAGCAGGAGTTGTGCAAAAGTTGTCAAGAGGCACTTGATGGCAGAGAGAAAATTCCAGCACTGCTCTCTGCCTCTGCCCTCGGAAATGAGCGCAGCTCTGTCACCTTCTGTGGTGAAATGGAGTGGGAAGGAGGGAGTGGGAACAGTCCCATGATGTCTCATGGTGGTAACCTGGAGGCAAATCTGGCTCTCGGTCCATGCGAGTGTAAATGCCCACTGGTGTCGCTGAAGCAAAACAAATTTGATTTATTGCTCCTAACAAGATCCTTCAGCACCAGATCCTGAAAATACTTAGGTCCAGCTTTGATGTGAAATATTTAGGTCCAGCTTTGTCATGAGATTTGGGGTGTGAAATTAAGAGAGTGTGTTTAAGCATTATTCTTTTGTTTAGTTTTTGCAGCAGGTTCTTTCCTTCAACCATTACTGCCACTGGGGGAGCTTATCATTGGATATTATCAGCAACAGGATCTCTTAAGATTTAAGTTTTAGGCCATGTTAATTGAATTAAAAGATTAATATACAATGCAAGGGACCAAGTATACAGGCGATTAATCCTGAGAAATAAAATGTGGTTGAGTCACACAGAAGCACTACAGGGCAAAAAAACACCAGCACTGAAGGACCTTTGACAAGAAAGGTTGTTTTTTCCCCAGACAACCCTGTCAGCTATGGCTGTCAACAATAAAAAGAAAGAAACAAATAAATTGGAGGCCGTGTGTAAGTCACAGGATCAGAATATAAATACACATGACATGGAAGGGAGTAAATAATACTGACGCATTCTTTAGAAATGTTCTCGGGCAATACTTCCTATTTGTGTTCCACTGAAGTGATATGAAATAAAACTTTGTGGGGAGAATTGTTACTAATCACCCAGGTTCTTGAGGGACGTGGCTCTCTGTGTGTTGGGAGGAACTGCTCCTTTGCAGGGCTGCCTTGTCTTGGGCCTTACATCAGCAATGCCAATGTAAAAAGTGTGAGACTCGGGGCAACAGAACATAAAAGGAATGTGTTCATCCATTGCTGTCTAAAAGGACAGCTGTGCATTTTTCACTGCAGGTCAAGCTCCCTGTGGATCTGGAAATGTGGATGTGGGCAGCACGGTCAGGGATGCCAGTGAGCAGTGGGGATGGGGCTGTGGTGGAGCCCCACACTCCTGCAGGCGTCCCCATGGCATTGCTCCACCTTGGCAAAGGCAGCTCACACCTGGCTCTGGCCAAAGAGGGCAAATCCCACTGCTCTGGGAAAGCCGAAAGCCTCAAATTAATGGCAACTCTTCCAAACTCCATCAGTAAAATTGATAGGCTAATATATATATATATATATATATATATATAAGCTTGGTAGTCACTGAGAATTTAATAGCTCTTATTTATAACCGAGATGCTCCTCACAGGGAGGCCAAGACTTGCTCCTGGCCCTGTGTATAGACAGGGACCTCTGCAAGGACAGTGGCTGATCTCAGCCAAGGTCCCCACCAAGGCTCATCACTCCTGCCATGGCTTTTAAAATAGTGATATAAAATGTYATTTAAAAGCCACATGTGTGCTGTGCACACACTTGTCCTTCCAAGGCAGCTCAAAGATGCACGGAGCCCTCCAAACATAGATCCAGCTGCCAACAGCCTCTCTCATGCCCAGATCCAGCCCCGCAGAGCGTCCTCACCTGGTGTCTGGGTACCCAAATCCTCCATCCAAGGCATGAACTGCCACAAACCAGCAGTCTGGTTACAGACTTGCTGCCCTGAGTTCTCCTGTGAGGTTTGCTCACTGGTCCTCCAAAAAGTGGGAGAGGAAAGCACTTGACTGGAGTGCTTAGCACAGTGTGGGAACACACTGTTTTCTAAACACAGCTTTAAAAAAAAAAGAAAGAAAATAATATTTATTGGTCTAGATCACCAGAGCAGGATCTTCCCTTCTTACCTGACTGGAAAATGCCTACCCGTGGGTATCTGCTCCAGTAAATAAATCCAGAATTAATAATAAAGACAGCTAAATGACTAATAAACTGTGAAAATACTTTTCCATTACTGTTAACCTTCAGCAATTACTGCCACGGGGTTAAATACGGTTTCAGATTGCAGGGGAGATACATATGTTCTTTAGTAAGGCGTCCACTCCAGAAGAGGGTGAAAGCCTCTCCTATAAACTGCTTCTAATCCAGTGGCAGCCATGGCTTAATGACTTACAACTTACACAGGCAACCTAAAAACTCTGTCTGCACCCAGGRCTACACAGGATGGTGCTCTTTGGGCTTCCAAGCCTAACTTCATAAGCCTTTAGTTCTTTTTTAAAAGTTATATGRGCAAAAACTCAACACGCATGCTGGGGCCTCTTACTGTGTCTTTGGTGACTTTGCTTCCACACTGCTTCTTGATTTGTGGTCCTGTTAACATAGAAAGGTGTCTTGGCTTGGGGGGCACAAAAAAAAAAGTATTTTTGTGTTTTGTAGGGTTTTTTAAACCTTGACACATTTTATGTCTCTTTCCTTGCAGGTCTGCGTGGTGTCCTTGGTGGGATTTGTTATGCTTTGTATTTCGTACCAACCCGATGAGAAAACGTGTTTGCAGTTCACAGTGAAGGTACTTTAATGTTTTTTAAACATTTCTTTTGCTTCTCATATCATTAAATATAATCAGAAATGTTGTTGCAGGGGATATTTTTAAGACAACAGGAAAAGAAGTGAAAATGCACCTGAAATGCAGGAATAGTTTTCTGTTTCTTTCCGGGCAGCCAAGGAAGAAACTGTATCCCAGTAAGGAAAAATTCTAATCAGAGCAAGATGCCATTTTATTCACCATGTTTCAGGAATATTGTCAAAGCTGGAATAATTTGGGAAGTGTTCAGAGAGTTTGAGTAGATTAAGTGGAGACAGTGAGCAAAGTAAGAAGTAGGGTGGCATGAAATGACTCCACTTAAACCAAGTTGTAAYAATTAGTGGGAAAGTACTAGGAAAGCATGGGGACACATGCATTCTCCCATCACGCARATCCCCATCTGAGCATTGCAGGAGCTGCACCATACCCCACCTTTGTCTCCAAAACTGCTTGCTGACGCTGGTGAGCAGCTAGAAGAGCAAGGCTGAAAACTCTTACTTGTAACACCATTTTTTCTGGGCTGTTTTTCCTTATTATTGTAATTTTCAGGGCTCTTAATATTTTGCAGACACATAATAACCGAGAAAAATACCGACGCAAGCAACACGAAATAACAGTGATTATTAACYGAAAAAGGCAGAAGGAAACAAAATGCAAGGAGCAGCTTTTCAAAAGYTGGCATCCATCCTCCCTTAGAAATTAGACCCCGGTGTGTCTTTTGTGTCTTTCTCGAGCTTCTCCCGTACTTAAAGAAAAAAAAAGGAAAAGGATAATTGTGCCTGCCCTGYGACTGCCTCTACATTGTCCCCTGTCACCTTTGCACCCCCAGGGCTGCCCAGGGAGCCGCTGRGCTGGGCGGGGGCTGCCACGCCAGGCTTTTTACTGCCTGTCCCCAGCATTAAATCGAACTTGGCATCCCGGCAGGAAGGGAGTCATCCCTCGTGTCGGGCTGGGCAGCTCGGATGTCTCTGCCACCCTCGGCGACACCACCCACCCTGACAGTAAAGAATGTGAGCCATCGTTCCCTGTCGGAAAATAGACTTTTTGGGATTGCTCCCGAGGTTATGTAAAAGTAGCCGTTCCTCGTTCACCTAGCAGAATTAGAGTTAAAACCTCCCGTGAAAGACTTCTGGCTCAGTCAGTAGTCCACGGAATGTTGCTTACCCAAGGCATCCTCCTCCCCAAAATCCCGCTTCCCAGCATTTCCTACTGCAGCATGCCACTGAACTCCATCACTCCATTCACCTCTCCTGTCCCACGTCCCTGCTGGGAGCTGTTATCCAGTTCCTCTCTGGACAAATGGCTTTTGGCTGCAGGGCACGTACCTATTTTAACAAAKTAGGAGCTAAAAGTCTCCTCCAGGGCTTTGATCACACAGGACTCATCTACACCTCCAGTATCACTTCTCAGACCTTCAAATATCAGTTAAAGGCTGTCTCTGAACTAAAAAGGACCATTAGCTATGACAAGGTTAAGGATGCAAGATTACAGCCATGAGACAGATTATCAGGTGGGTTGTWCTTTTCTCCTCGAGGGCCTGCTGCTTCATCCAGCACTGCAGTTGGGTTCAGCCTGGTCTGCTCTAACTGTCTTTATGGGGTCTGGATCCCTGGCCGGTTCCCACCTACTGAGCACCATCCTACAAGAGAATCTTGGGCTTCCCTGGAGCACAGTTAGCACCCTGAATTCCCTTGCACAGCACAAGGAGCACTGTGAGAGGAGGACCACCCACCCACACACACACAGAGAGGCCTGGGGAGTTTTGGTCAATCCCCATGGTGACCCTGTGACCACTGCRAGTGACTCCCTCATGGTGGAAAACAGGAGGAGAGTGTGCAGTTCTCTCTGCCTTTCTCCCTCCCAACAGCTGCTTCTTTCATTTCACACTTGCATGAGCACTGGGTCCTGTTAAAAAAGGAGGTGTGAGAATTGCTTTCGGCAGAAGTCCCTTCCCGAGACTGCTGTGGGTACCCACAGCACGCCATGTGTCCCTGAGAAGGGGACACCACCCAACAAAGGGAGGTGGCTGTGCCCTTTAGAGAGAAAACAACAGAGCCACAAGGACAATCCTGAGCCCTCCTGTGGGTTTCCTGGGCTCTGTGGTGCCATCTGACAGATCACTCACCAGGGTCATCCCCACGGCATCCCCCAGGGTGGCGTGACACCCTCTGCTCTGGCACACCCAGCCCACGCTGTGACACATCACAGTTCCTGTTCCCTGCAGGGCTCATGCCTGAGCCACCACCGCCCTCACAAAGGGCCTCCTGATCCACCTCTGCAAACCCCTCTGCTTTCCTCTCTGGTAACTAAAGGAGCCTTTTCCATGAGGAGCTTGATCCATCTTCAGTAATTTATTTTATTATTTTAGTCAGAAAGGAAAACTATTGCCAGTAAATATTGCTAAAATATCTCTTCYTCGTATGAGGAACACGAAGGAGGATGAGCTGCCATGCCCTGACCTCATTGTCACTGTCTCTCCCTGCTTCCCTTTTCTCCTTCTATTCAAGCAGAAATTGCAGTGCCTATCCCTCTGAAGCTGTTTAAAAGCAGTTTTCCAGYGGCAAGTTCTGGTTCCTGGGCAGAGCCCACCACGCAGTTGTGTTTGTGATGCTGAAGTTGCCTCCAGGTCTGGCATGTGATTAATCTGCTGATGGGATCTCAGCACTCACTGTCTTGTGCTCCCTCAGAGGCAGTGCTTGCATTTGGCTCACCTTTGATATTTGGAAACRTGTTCATTTTCAGCAGCTAGCAGAGAGATTCCTCTGCAAACATCTTGTGAGAATAATAAGCTATTTGGAAATTGCCCTGTGTCTCCCATGCACCTCCTTTTGCCTCCAAGGATTACTGTAAGAGCTGCCTGTGTATTCAGATTCTGAGATTTCCTTCCCTTTAGGAATGCAACAGACAAATTCTGCCTTACTGTTCCTGGAGCATGGATTAGGCTTTGGATTTTTAGGGTGTTGTGTGCTGCCTTTGGAGAGAAGTTGGCAGCTAAATAAAACACCTGCCAAGGGAGAGTCAGGCACACGGTGTAGCCTTGGCTTAGTATCTCATTGGTTAGGGAGGCCTGATTCTGTCTTCTGCTGGGTTGAATCCAGGGATTTCCACCAGGGTTCCTGTATCACAGAACAACCAATGTTTGCCCATTTTCTGCCTTCCTCATCGAACACATCTGCACCATCTTTTGAAACAATGCCACTGGCTTGTGAATTACCACATTCTGGTTTGGAAGGAGTCCATCAGTCAGTAACACWCCATCTTCTGTGTGCTTTATATGAGGAGGTGGCCCTGTTTTCCAGCTTCACGTTTCCCACGGACCTTCCCCTTGAAAGTTGTGGGGGTAAAGTACTTGTATTTAAAAAGAGCCACCCCCATTTTGAAGCTTCAGGGGAAGCCATTAAATTTAATAGTAGCCAAATCATGGAAATGAAGATGTTTCTGTAAAAATTTGTTGGTATGAGAGGGCAAAATGTATGTAAGTGCTTCAGGACCTGCAATGAGCCCAAATATTTTTTTTTCAAGTTGGAAACCAAATAGAAGATTGATTCACACTGTAGATATAAGACAAATACACAGGGGTGTGAATTTTATCAGGACATGCATACTTGGAGTTTCAAGGTCATAAAAATGCTTTTATATTGATATTTTGCTTGCAGTATTGAGGTTAAGAGAGAGAGAGAAGCTGCTGTTTAAAATAACAGATTCCCAACCATGCCATGTGTCTGACAGATAAGACGCCAAGGAAAATAAATGTTTTTACAGTGCTGAACAGAACCAAAAATGCAATTTTGGCTAAACACAGAACATGATTTTAATATACATTCACACATATTTCGTATTCAGTGCAGCAACTGCCAGTTCCAGCTATCAAAAGCAAAGGGAAGTCCATATGTGCTGGTATCCAAAGCTCTCAGGTGCATCCTGGAGTGTCAAAGGCTCTGACTTGCTGCCAGTTTCCATGTGTTTGTGGGGGTGGACTCTGCAGAGCTACCCTTGATAAAAGGCACACTATTTTTAAGCTGCCTCTGTTGTAAGGAGCAGTGGAGGTGACGAGCAGACCCTCGTCCTTCTCACACCACAGCACTGGGAAAAGAAAGGCGCTTGCTGCTCTTTCACACCCGTGAACGACTTTCCTGTGTTTATGGGGCAGGTTTTGGCAACAGACTGAGCACAGCACACACTTTTTTGTGGAGATCTGATTCCCATTCCACAGTGGGACCTGGAAAGCAAACAGGCTGRCTGCATCCACAGCGCCACGAGAAGGAGATCGGCCAGCCCACTGCCTGATTTGCAAGTGCAAATCAGATTTGTTTGGGCATGCAAACCAGGAGCAGAGAATAACACACGAGCAAAGTCTCAGGAACACCAACAGCTCAGCACAGCCTGGGATAAGATGGCAGCCCAAGCCTCAGTCTGCTCAGCTCTGCTTCCAGGCACTAATTTGTCTCTGCTGATGACYGTGAGCCCTGTCAATGCAGGTACAACTGGAGAGGAAAATGCTGCCTCCCTCTTTGTAAAGCTTCTGGCTGTKTAGAGATACCAACTTCTCAATGCTCTCACCAGGCCTCAAAATTKCAAGGCAGTTCTTGAGATTTATATATTTAGTAAATTTAATTTATATACTCATGTAGAATATGCAAGGCAGAATTGTTAGTTCTTGAGATGACCTGCTGAACTGTGCATCATAAGGAGTTGTGCAGTTTTTGAAGCACCCAGTCTCCAAATGTTGCACTGAGGGTATGCAAAGTACACATGCATGCATTCCTTGTGTGTTCTTCCATCTCTGTGCAGCTGGAAAAAGGGGGTCTTATCTTTTTGGTTTTCTCCCTTTCTTTCAGCTGCTCTATTTTGTCCTGAGCGCCCTGGCTCTGGTGGCCTGTGTTTTGGCAGTGGCTTTTGCCGCACACCATTACCTGCAGCTGACAAAGTTCACCTGYGACAGCACCCCGGAGTTCTGCCAGTGCAAACTGGACACCGCCGACCCCCTGGGCCGGACCTTCGTGTACCAGGACGCGGCCGACTGCGGCAGCCTGAGCAGCACGCTCAGCCTGTACCTGCCCCTGCAGATGGCTCTCAACCTGGTGGCGGCCCTTGTGTGTCTTGTGACGTGCTTTGTGGTGTGGAAGCACCGCTACCAGGTTTTCTACGTGGGCGTTCGCTTCCAGCCTCTCACTGCCGCCGAGGGCCACGGGCAGCAAGTGTAGGGCTGGGCTGGCAGGGGGCTGTGGCCAGGGAATGGGAACCGCAGGCACTGCGGAGGGATGGGTGCTTGGAAGGGCTCTGACGAGGGGAAAACGCTCACATGGCTTTAATGAATATATTTTTCAATCATTTTAAGAGCATTTCTTACGGCTGCTCTTGGAGAAAGGCCTCTTGTGAGATTAGCGAGAGGTCACAGAGTCCTAAAGATGCAGCTGTACAAATGCTCACCAAAGAGGATCTTTAACAGCCACAGATAAAATCATTGGGAACTCGTCTGCAGGGCTACAGCCATTACAAAATAGKGGCCATTTCCCTCCTGCCTTCAGAGAAGCTATGCCAATTTCTACCAGATAAAGATCCAAAATGCTTAATTATAACTATGGGAACATGCTTCGGGAATATATCATATCTTGGTGCTCTGGGTGTAATCCACACTAACCTGATGGGAATTTAACATTCAGAAATGTAATAGGGGAGGTCAAGACTTCTTCAGATGCAGGTTGAGACCAACAGCAAAATGAATTTATTGACAGCTGCCATATAAAATAAATACACGCTTTTCAGAGTGACTAATGATACAGGTTGTCTAACCTAATTACTAATAAACAACAATATGAGTGAGTTCACTGATGGTTGTTTGGTGGGCCCTACTTGAGACCCCAGGCAGATTTCTGAAGTTTGGGAGAAAAGATCAGTTTAAGGAACCATGAGCTGCACTCCTAAAGTGGAAAGACCCTAAATCACTAGTCATGTTGAAAACGATGTCCATATTGCTCACAAACCTGGATTTTAGCCAGTTCCACCAATTATACTCCAAGCACAAAAGGCCAAATGCATTTTTGGTGTAACTCCTCTGAAGACAATCAGCCTTACACACYAGCAGTGGAGTTGGGCCAACAGCCCTGAAAGATATATCCCTGCAACAATGAATGYTTTTAAAATGGGGTGGAGGGAGGGAAGCAAGAAGAGACTGCCAGTCTCCCAAAGACACCTTTGAGAATGACGAGGGCAACAGAATGATGTTTTCTTAATTATTCAAACAGTGCTTTTTCACCCTGAAAGTACAGCTCTAGAAGTACTTTATATCTTATTAGCCTTATCCAATACAACTACGTTGGTTTGTCTCTTGAACTGCCATTTCCACTTGTACAGCATGGACATCTAAATTTAGGAGCCATTCTGAATTGGTAGCACTTTGGATGGCCTCCTGATCCGTATCTGTGCAAGAGCAAGGCAGCTGGTGCTCACACCCTGCCATGGCGAGGGATTTCCCGATCCCAGACAGAACAAGGATGTCTCTGAGGYGGGGTGGAGCAATCACATGCCAGAAAAATTGTGCCATAATCATTAGCTAGGAGGAAGCAAATGAAATTTATGTAAGGCTTCAAAGAAACAAAAACAACTTTCTGCAGCAAAAATAGCTATCAGGAGGTCAAAAACCCAGCCCGGCAAAACCCAGTTGTCTAACGAGCTCTAATCCTTCMAAAAAACTGTCTTCCATATGGTAATCATATACCTTCCAGGGATTAGGCCACCAAACCTCCAGGGTCAGAAGATCAGAGCATCATGAAGTGTCCTGTGGCCCCCTAGAACACTGCTGGGTGCATGGGCTGCAGTTTTAGTCATGGAAAGTGCCTCTGGAGCAGACATAGCATCACCAAGGTGCTCTCTGCCAAGCCACAGAACGAGGAGCTGCAGAGGATGAGGGGGTTTGAGATCTGCTTCCAAATAAAAGCAACAAGCACTAGTAAGCCTGGCCGCAGGGCACGTTTGCAAGGGTGCCCGTGTCWCCACCCATGCAAAGAGCTCAGCCTGCCTCCCAGGCACTGCTGGGGCAAGCTGAGACAGGAGAGGAGCGGGCGGGAGGGCTGGTGATGGCAGACTCATCTGCCGGCATCCTCGGGGCCATCCGTGCAGAACCCAGCCCATCTCCCACGGCTCTGGCGAAATCTGCTGCCAGCAGCACTCACAGACCTGTGCCCGGGCCATCCTCCCTGGAGGATGGGTACACGGGGATGTCTCTCATCTGGAGGTACTCACTCTGTCCCCCATCCCGCACASAGCTCCAGCCGTGCTCTCTGGGCAAGCTCAGGGCAGAGGATGTACCTTCCTCCTACCTACACGGCCCTCAGCGCACCTGTCCCTCCCTCCAGCTGAAAACGTGGGGTCCTCTCTCCACAAAGGAGATAACAAGAAGCAGGAAAGGATCAGAGGGAGTGTGAGTGACAGCTGAGCTTTGGGTGGCTGGTGAACACCGATGGCAGAGCAAGAGGAAGGCTCTGCTGGCAGAGCAGGGCGTGCTTCCCCCCGAATGTCAGGGGACAGTTTGGTGGCTGGCAGCAGCACTGAGCCGCTGCGACACGGCTGGCCAGCCCCGGCCGGCGGCATTTCCACCAGAGCCGCCCTTTGTCTCCCTAATCCCCTGACCTCCGCCTCACCCACATGTTGTCACTCGCTGTCGCCCGTCGCCTCCCAGGTGCTGGGCTCTCGGAGCTGTCCCATGGGGCTGGGCTGGCCGTGCCCGGCTTTGCCGGCTCAGCCCGGGCTGAGATTTGCCGGGGCTGCTCTGGAGCACGGCAGACGCAGCGGGGATGATCACAGAGCTGCTGTAAATGCTTTCGGCGTGTCGGCAGGGAGGAGAAGGGAGGTCTGGATAACAAGCTGTGCACCTCCATATCAGCACACCCTCCGCTTCCAGCCGCCGCCGAGCTCGGGTCGCTAATCAGCACGATGCAGCTTAACCCTCTGCTCCGGAAGAAAGCAATATTCATCATGTATTCTATTGGTGGTTCATATGCTTAATGAATAAATACGGGGCATTTTGATCTAGCAAAGATTAACTTCTTTATTTCCTTTTCATGTATCTCAAGAGCATAAAATTGAAACAGGAGAGATGGAGAAACCTAAAGCAAAAGGTTTAGGAACTGGTTTCCCCCTGGGTATGGTTTTACAATGTGTATTTTGCTCAGATTAAGAATTTTGGAAAGTACTAATTAAAGGATTCTCACCTACCACAGCATATCCAGACACCTCCCAGCCTTTTCCCAGTGTCAGRGTCCACACGGACTGCACCAGGAGAAAGACTGGGACTAAAAGRCTTGGAAAGGACAGAGGTATTGAAGAAGAAAACAATCTTTTTAAGCCTGGGAAATTTATCTTCTAGGTGAATTCCACRGAATGGGGTAGGATTAAACCTCTATGGACACATAGAATTTGCGAAGGGCTCGATGTAATTTACTCTCACAAACCCAGGTGTGATTCTCATTTGCACCCTGGCCACTTTACACTGTTTTCCCAGTGTAAAGGGGTTGTAAAGGCTGCATCAATCATCTTTACACCTACTTTATGGCCATTTTACACAGCTAAAAGGGGCCTTTGTGTAAATGAGAACTCTAGCCCTAGAGAATTTAATAGAGAGGAGATCCTTTCTATAGACTGTGCTAGACCCTCTAATAGGGTCTATTACTGGGATATAACTCTCTGCTGGATTTTATAGCTTGGCTTAGAGATCATCAGTCTCGATTAAATTCAGCTCTGCAAAACTTTTCCAAAGGCCATAACCCCGCGGTGTCATGCCTGCTCCTCCACCCCGAACACACGCAGAGAGCCATGGTGTCGCATGGATAGCCGCTCGGTTTTTTAAAAGGAGAAGCAGCAGCCACCACTTTCCTCTGGCTCTGAGGCATTTCCATGTCGTGCTATGCAAATACCGGGGCGACAATAACAGCAGCGAAAAGGGAACCGAGACACGGCGCCTCACGGGGAGCCAAAATGTCACATTCTCAGTCCCACCAGCATTCGTGCCCCTCTCCCTCCCCTGCTGCCACTGGAAGGACAGGGGCCGGTGGGCGAAGGGGAAGCACCGCCAGCTCCTGGCCCCACGCTGGGGCTGCCACCAGCCTTGTCGTGACGGCCATCTGCGCCTCGCTGGCCCGGCCGGCTCTGCGTGGGCACCGCTTGGAGCCGTGCCTAAAAAACAACTCTGCGCAAGAGCGCCGGGAGCTGCAATCAACACACAGGACTAATTTTTTTTTTTTTTTTTTTTTTTTTTTTTTTTTTTTTTTTTTTTTTTGTGTTTTGTTTTTGGGTTTTTTTTTGTTTTGTTTTGTTTTGTTTTTTTTTTTTTTTTTTTTCGTCCACGCTCCCAACCAGTGCAGTATTCGCTCTGGGGACCTTTCGAAAGAGAAAGCACGCTGCTAGCGTGTGAGAGAAGCCGCGGTTCAGGTCCTCTATATTTAGAAAGCCAGGATGTCATACCTCGCCTTGAAATTTTCATAGTCCCCTGCACCCCACCCACCCACACACGTACACATGCTTGCGTCTGGAAAATGTTTTTCGGTCTCGGCGAAGGGTGTTGGCTTAGGGGGATTCGAGGGAGGTGCAGAGGAACAACAGCAGCTCGGTCCCGGGCGCGAAGCTCGAAGCCTCCTTAAGGCAGCGGGCACGGCAGGAGCCGGGGACCCGCCGCTCCCGGCGCTGCAGAGCAGGATCTCCGCTCCCTGCGGTCTGTAACACGAACCCGAGCWGGGCCGAGCTGTTCTCAGGCACGGGGAGCCCTGTCCTGTGTCACGTCAGGCAGTGCTGCWCCTTCAGCCAACATCATCTTCCCCAGCTCGTTTTTAAGGGGCTGCAGCACCTGCAGCAAGGGCTCCGAGGAGGTGGATTTTGGGGGTAGCTCTTCTCTGCAGTTCCTCCTCCCCAGGGATTTTTGCTTTCTGCTAAATGGCTRCCTCTATTAATCACTGCTCAGTAGCATTTATCCTCTGCTAAATTGCTCTGTAGTAAAATATCATAAACAATGATTGCATCTACAAAGACTGCGGTGCATTTTCCTTTTGGTTTTGGTACCTGGTCTCCATGCCTTTGTCCAAGCAAACAGTTGAAAGCATCATCAAAACTTCGAACTTGTTGGGGGGGCACTGGCAACTTCTTTTTCCTTTCTTTTTAAAGAAGATAGGGGCAATGCCTAATTTAATTTGTTTCTTCAATGCTTTCCCACTCCACCAATCTGTCTTCGTGTTGGAGCACAGCCCCTAAGTCTGGCTYACAGTGACTGGCTGCAGACAGAGCGGAGCTGAGACCACCCCTGCTCACCCAGGTGCACCCGGGTGTCRCTGCCTGGCACGGATACCTGAGGGTCGGCCACCAAACCAAATCAGCAGGAGCCTGGTCTGAGAGGGGACAATAACCTGCAGAAGGTGATTTCAGTACCTGCCTCTCCTTCAGGCAGATGGATTATGAATGATGAGCGCTGGTCTGACCCCAAGTTACAGGAGATGCAGAGTGACACCGATTAAGGCAGCTCTCAGCTTTACAAGCCCTGATTGTCCTGGAAATGAGATATTTGAGCAAGACAGGGTTTTAACCCCGTTTCGCTCTCGAGGCTGTGTAAGGAGAACTATTTTTAATTAGCTCAAAGCTGACTGAAGAGGGATTTCTCCTCACTCCAGTGTCGGATTTCTCTTCCACCAAAACTGTGATGAGAGAAAGCCTTTCTCTGATCTGTCCTCCATGGGGCTGGCTGGGAGCAACACCGCTGGGGCCACCCTCCTGTCCTTGTTGGGACATTTCCTTCCAGCTCCACAGCTGCCAGTGCTGGCACAGGGAGRGCAGGGGAAGCCAATGTCCCAGATCCATAATGTGCCCGGAGTCAACCGAGCCCTGCGCAATCCCTGTTTATACTGACGCTACTGGCCACCAGGGATTTAGTGGGATAGTTTAGGGAACAATCACACTGAAAAGGGAAGAAAGTAGACATTTACACTTTCCCTTCCACCTTGGGAATGCAGGCAGGGGAGCAGCATGCACACAAAGGGACCCAAGAGGAAAAGCAAAAGCCTTCCATCCCGTTTTGCTGTCCAAACCTGCCAGTGTGCTGAGAAACAGTGAAAATGTGCAGAAAATAAACTCCCAGAAATCAGGCACTATAAACACTTSGGGTTTTCAAGATCCAAAGTGTTGTTAGGTTCAGAACATGAAAATTAGTGTATTTTTATGGCTTGTCCAAGTCTTCCAGGTGGCATCAGGTGCGCACCCAGACAGCCAGGCTTCTTTACCGTCACCAAAGGAAGTAAATTTTGTAACCCAGATGGGAGGGGAGAGGCATGGGGCAGGGCAGTTTTGGGGCTGTACTCATATATCCATGTATATTCTGTTAAKRSCACTRTTTGCATCAATTCAGCATTTTCTCTTGTGTACAAAAGGAAATTGTAGAATCTYAGCTGGCAAAATTCTGTGCTTCTGRATTAACAGAAGCTGCATCTCCACTTTATTTCTAATAAAACTTCTCTCAGTCACTCCACCCAGGTTGCAGTGCTCCTCTCCACCCAGTGAGACAGGACTTTCCTGGCAAACCCTCTACTGACCCCACAAAAGACACTGGTTCTGTGGGCTCTGTGTGAGCTGGCCCTGCTTAGCCAGGTCAGGGGAGGCACAATTTACAAACTGGCTCCTGAGACTTCTGAATTCTCCAGCYGCTGATTATTCTGCTGCTTATAGCAGATTATTAGAAAATTACAGACATCCAATGCTTGAAAATCCCACAGGATAATTGCCTGCTAATAGACATGAAGGGACGTTCATTAGTCCAAGTGGCAAGTGTGGCTACTGCCTGGTGGGAATAGCAGGTCCTGGACYGCCAAATGACACCTAAAAGGGAACATTCAGGACCTGCAGGCTACAACCAGGGACCCCTCTGTGCTCACTGAGCAAGAGAGGCTTGCAGGGCTTGCAGGATCAYGGGGTTGTGAAGGCTCACCCTCATCCCTAAGGGAAGCTGACCCCATTTGAAAGAATCACTCCAGCTGGAGCTCGATGCCAGGCTTGCTCCACTCTTTATCCCCAGATAGCTTTGGGGCCACAAATCCTCACCCCTGGAGGCAAAAAGCAGGAAGAGAAAAAAAAAAGCATAAAGATTGGTTGGATTTGTCTTTGCCTGAGCTTGGTACATCTTCCTGTAAGGCTTTCCCCCCAACAGGAACATGTTGACTGGGGCTGGTTTGGAGTTTGATGGGTTTTTTCTTTCAGTGGCTGTGTAAGGATCTCGTTCAAGGCCACTGAAATGGGTGAAAAACTAACTAATGTTTCCCATGCTAAATGCAAAGCATCATTAGCCCTGCTACAGCACACTGGAGGCARCACCAGCTATTAAAGAAAGTGGGTTGATTAAGGGACAACCTCCAAGCCTAAAAATAATCAGTGAAATAAGAATCAATGCYATATGAAAGCAAACACGCAGTCAGTTGTTATCACAGAGCTTTTCACGTGATGGTCCGTGCACTGATCTCACCCGCAGCRTGTTTGTTTTGGACAATCTTAAAGGGTCCGGCCCCGTGGGTTGGCAGCAACGCCTACGGACTGATCTGAGAGCACAGGCCTGACCCAAACCCGTGGAGGTCAAGGMATTGACTCCTCCAAGCTCTCCCTGTAGGAACTGCTCCAGCTTTGGAAAGATATGTTGCAGTTAAAGATGTTGGTATGGGCTTAGGGAAAATGTACTGACACTGTCACTGTCAAATCCAAGCATAGACAAGTGAAAAACAGAGGGGTTGTAACTAATAAGTGCAACACAAAATAAAAACAAAGTGGCTGAAGGAAAACTCGAGCAGTYGAGGGGAAATGCAGCAACTTCAAACAAACTGCCTTGGCCCAGACACATTGCACAGAACATGCAGAGATTTGAAGAGGAAGAGAAGGATGGCAGGAGCTCAGCCTCCCGCTTTTTCACAAGCCTCAAAAACATCTCAGGCAATGCGAGAAGAAAAAAATACACAACTTTAGTCCTGTCTKGAAACATGTGGTACAAACTGAGGCAGAGCAGATTAAACTTGGCTTTGCCCAATTTCCCTGCTCTTTTTTCACTCCCCTGCTCTTTGCTGGTATTATCTGGGCTGCCCAGT